AGGGCAGGGGTGTCCAACCTTGGCAACTTTAAGACTTGTGGACTTCAACTCCCAGAATTCCTCAGCCAGCTTTGCAAGTCTTAAAGTTGCCAAGGTTGGACACCCCTGGTGTAGGGTCTCCTGCTTGAGTGGGGGTGGGGGGGTTGGACTAGATGACCTACAAGGTCCCTTCTAACTCTGTTGTTCTGTTAAAGATGTTCAGACTGGACCTGGCATTTTTATCCGCTTATGAAGTCCTTCCCAAGGACTTAGGACAGGTAGATGTCTATTTATTTTTATTTTATTGATTAAACTTCTATGCCGCCTGTCTCGCCAAGTGAGGTGACTCTGATGTTGAAGACATTAAATCATTTTTTACTCATTATGTTTGTTTATTTAGTATAACTTCTTGTTAGTTCATTAGTGATGTTTTGAGTGTTTTCAGTTTAATAACGGGGAACCGGCAGAAAAGAACAATGTTGGGATGAGACCTCTTGATTCAAGCAGGACTTGAATTCACTTCTCCTTCCCGATGGGGTGAAACTGAGACCCAAAGAGACCCCAAAAAGTTTCAAAGTTAGATGAATAAATTTGGGGATATAAATTTTCTGAACACGGGAGACCATGCGCAGAAGAGATGTACGGACAGCTTGTTCACTTCTGTGGGTTTTTTTCTAAATTAAGATGCAAATGTTGAGAAAACTCCATGAAGAAAGTCAGCCAATGGATTTACAAACCACCTGGCTTCCCCCGTTTCTAATCCTTCTTTTTCCAAAACTGAACGTTTGTCTCTAAGGATGCCAGGAATCTGTTTATACGAGAAGCTCTCGCCACAATCTGCAGGCAATCCTTTTATAGGCTTTTAAAGATTTACAGCAGCTGTTTTTGTACTTTATTTTCAACTGGTACTTTTTTAGGATATTTGTCATGGTCTTTTTTTTTTTAATTTTTCATGTCCATATTCTCTGCGGTGAAAGCAGAGAGCCAGACTGTAAGAATACGTTCCCCATGTTGGTAGCCAACCGCTGCAGAAAAAGTTGAGATCAGCATAGCTTGAAAATGCTTAAAGAAGGTAAAGTGAAGGAAGGCAATGGCTCCAGGTGAGATTCAGGTGGAGGCACGGATGATATCACAATACGCAATGAATTTTCCCACTGGGCAGTGACCAGACGCACCTACAGCTTGCTGTTCTTACCTACAGATCTTTTGTGTGTTTGATAAAGGAGAATATTTGTGGCTCAGGGTTGAAATGAGGAATCCTTGAGCAAAACCCATTCCTTACTAGCACTGAGGATGTTACCTAGTTGGGTCATGAAACGTCTGCAAGAAAACAAGCAAGGTCAGATAGCACCAAGGATCCCACAGTCCTTCTCTTTCTCTGCAAACTCCACTCCCTTCTAGCACTGATGATGTTACCCAGTTGGGTCATGAAACGTCTGCAAGAAGACAAGCAAACTCAGAGACCACCAAGGACCCCAGTTTTCTTCCTCCTCCTCCTCCTCTTCCTCCTCCCCCTCCCCCCCCCCCCCAACACACAAACCCCATTCCCTTCTAGCACTGATGACATTACCTAGTTTGGTAATGAAACGTCTGCAAGAAAACCACCAAGCTCAGAGACCACCAGGAACCCCCGTTTTCCTCCTCCCCCTCCTCCTTCCTGCAAACCTCCTTCCCTTCTAGCACTGATTGGTAATGAAACGTCTGCAAGAAGACAACCAAACTCAGAGACCACCAAGGACCCCTCGTTCGTTATCTTCATGAATAGCCTGGAATGAGTTTACAGAAGGGTGTAGTTACGAATAATGGATGAATTAGGCATAGACGCCAGGCTATTAGCACCTCACAAATATAAAAGCAAGAATTGGTACAGAAATACAATCTCCAGGATAGTGAGAGAAGCAGAAAGGACTAATTGTTTTTTCCTCCAAGCCACTTCCTCCGTTGTTTTTTTCTGCCATTCTTAGCATCAGTAGCCTGTCCCTTCACCCAAATATGCTGGGTTTTTATTAATAGGCCCCAGTAACAAAGACGATTGGCGTGGCTGGTTTTTCCCCCCCTTCATTTCTCTTTGGCTTTTGCCAGGAAGAGTCCTCCAGTCTCAATTGTTTATATACTCAACACACGAACATGACTCTCCTGGCTTCACACATTTATTAAAAAGTCAAAATGTCCTCGAGTTCAGCTCGACCCCTGGTGACCACTTCCATGCTGGGTTTTTTTCCTGGCAGGATTACAACATTGGAATTGCTTTTGCCCTTTTTTAGGCTATATGGTCTTCAATGTCCCAAGATGTTGGGTTTTTTTAAAATTAATTTATACTGTCCAAATCTAGCCTTTTAGTTTTGCATCCCTTCCAAGGGCAGGCCAAGTCCAACCCTGCTTAGCTTGCAAAGTCAGCATCTATTCACCCGCTGAAGCCATACACTTGCTACTCAATCTTTACTCTTCCCCAACTCCCCATTGGAAGAGGGAGTCTCCGTATGCATAGTACTGGAAGAAAAACATCATACCTCCCGAAGGTTTAATAATTTAAAAAAATCTTCAAGTGCGTGGAAATGGATCAATTAACTATGGAACTAAAAGGGAAAGCTGGCATGGAATACAATGCAATATGGGAAACATGGTGTATCTGGATTGACAATAAACGTAAGAATAGAAAATGTAAATAATGTGTATAATTGTTATGAGGGTATGGAAGTAGTATTGAAAGATTGGAGAGGGTGTATAGATGTATATATATATTGTCACAGGATTGTTCAATTAGTAATGGTATTATGTATAAATGGAAAAACCCAATAAAGTGTTGCAAGAAAAAAATGAAGAAGGAATCTCGTCTTAGTGCAACTGGCCTTGCAAGAGTTCAAGTGGTTCTCGGCTCATATGACCGCAAACGGGCCCAAAATTTCCGTTGTTAAGCAAGATAGCTCAAAACAGTTGAGCTTTGCCCCGTTTTATAACCTCCCTTGCCACGGTGGTTCAGTGAATCACGACCGTTGTTAAGTTAGCAAAACGGTCGTTCAGTGAATCCGGCTTTGACTTTTGCTAGTCAGGAGGTTGCAAAAGGGGATCGGTTGACCTTGGGGCACGGCGGCCGTCATAAATATGAGTCAGTTGCCAAGCGTCCGAATTTTGATCACCTGACCATGAGGATGCAAAAAACGGTCACATCACTTTGTCATTGCTATGAACATTGGTTGTGGTTCGCCGGCAGCTGGTGCAGATGGCAGTGGAATCGGACAGTGGGGAAGAACAGGGACCAGTTTGGGAGTCTGGAGAGGACTCGGACGAGGGTCCTGCATCCGATGCAGAGATGGGGCCAGGACCATCTGGGAGTGGGGTGCTGCCTCTGGAGCCTCCGGAGTCTGGCAGCAGCGAGGCAGAGGAACAAGGGGAGCCTGTTCCCAGTGCGCATGTGCACAGAGCTGCTAGAAGGTGAGAGCAGCTGAAACAAAAGGGGCAAACTTGGGAGTAAGGCTGGGAGGTGATTGCCCCTCTGCTAAAGTATAAAGGACAGGCAAAGGTAGAGAAACCTTTGCAGGAAGCAAAGTTGTTTGTTCTGTTCAGATTAATCCTTGAAGCTCTGTGTGGACTTTGTACTTCAGTTGGTTTTTTTTTATAATTCATTTGGCACTTTAGTTGTTGGCAGCCATTCAAAGGAGATAAAGGTGGGTGCTTATCTCGAGGGACTGTTTGGGACTCATTACCAGCTGGGAATGAACATAATTCGCAGCGTTGAAATAAAACAAGAGTTGTTTTAACTAAGTGTGTGCTTCATTAAGGTCTTGGGAAGCCTTGGTCACAACAACCATCACTAAATGATTGTCAGTCAAGGACTACCTGTATATGTTAGCTCACACATGCGTCGCTAAAACTCTTTATCCTTCCATATTCCTCACTTCTTCTTGGTTTCATTCATAACTTCTTTGAGGACACCACACACGGTGGTAAGATTGGAGAACGAAGTCTGGTGGGGTCACCGTGGCTGGAACGGTTTAACCTGCAAGGAGGTGTCCCAATAGACTTTAGAAAGCCAAACCGAGGCTGGAACGCTGCTGGAGAAATTTATCTTTCAAGTCCCTGGCAGGGGCCATCTGGTTCAGGTCCTAGCTGGGAGAAAGACCCGGGAAATGTGGAGGCCAATTGGAAAGATGGTTTAAGGATGAAGCAGAACCACATGGGCGAGTCTGGGGCAGCTCACCCACACAGTTAAGAGCGAGAGGTTTTTATACCTTCTCTTGCACTTTGCACTTGAGCTTCCTGTTCCTGGGCAAGAACATGTATTCTATTAGCTTCAGGCTCTTCAAATTTGGTAAGTTTAAGATTTGTGGACTTCCAACTCCCAGAATTCCTGAGCTAACATGACTGGAGGAGGAATTCTGGGAGTTGGAAATCCACAAGTCTTAAACCTGTCAAGTTTGAAGACCCCTGTATTAGCTGTTATCAGACTCCGATGGGGTCATGTAAGGGTCATAGCTGGCTCTATAGGCAGAGTAAAAATCCTAGGTGTTTCTCTGAGCTAAGTTTGGTTGAAGTTTGGACTGCTGATGCAATTCCTATTGTGGCTGAGGGCTAATCCTACCTTTGTTCAGACCTTGTTGCAGGGAATTTTTGCCTATGAATAAAGCTACCCAGATACTTGGCTTCTTCTTTCAATAAGCTTTTTATCTCTTAAGTGCTGACATCTGCTGAGGGCTATTAAGAAAGTGGGGTCTGCTTTCTCCCTCTAAAAAAAACACATTTCTCATCCAGGGAAATATAATATTCTGCCTTTTTAAAATATTTCTCCAAATATTTCATTCCTCTAGGAGAGTGGGTGGGTGCTAACTTTTTACAAAACCATGTTCGGTTCTAACTAGGCTGGGTGCCAAAAGTTGGGTGGAAGTTAGTTGGGTGAAATTAGCAGAAGAGACATCATTAGCATCTTGGCAGTTACGTTTCCATGAGCTCCGAGGTTTCTACTACACGCAGCCTGGAAATGTTTACTCTCTTAAGAGGATTCTTTGTTCTTGCTGCCAATTCCCATGTTTGTAGAGCGTTCTTTACCTCCGTCCCTTAGGAGGCGAAGTGCTTTGGTTAGACCCTTAACATCCTTTCCCACCAGGGCCCACTTTTGAATAGCTATAGAGGTGAAAGTAGGCAGTTGAAACTCAAGAAAATTTAAAATATCAAAGCAGAAGGCAACGTGCCATTTTTATTTATTTTTTTCTTAAAACCACAACTTCTAAACTCGTAGGTCACAATGATAATGACAAGCTCGCAGGTCAGAATGACCTATAAAGCTGAAGAAGGAAAGATATGAAGGCAATTCTGTCTCATCTTCAGCAATTTAAGTCATTTTTTTTTAAAAAAATGTTGATTTAGGGACCATCCTGCCTCATTTTCTTTGATTGCACTTAAGCTGCGGATGCTGCAGTAACTTACTGGGTAGTGATTTACTAAACCACCCCGGGTTTTGAATTAGCTTCTCACATGAAATCAATGCTGACAGCAATGAATTTTCTATAGTTGCACTTTGTAACTAACAAAAATGCCAATGTGTAAACTGCACATAAGTGGTTTAGGTTACAACTGCTTCCTTATTTGCAGAATTGGTCAAGAGCAAACGGTAATTGTCAAAATACTAGCAAGCACGAGATTGCCTGCCCTTTTCCCAGGTATTGCAAATAATGTTCACAATTCATGTTCTATTTTGTTTGCAACAATCTCACTCAAGCCTTTGTTCACTTCTAATTTCTTTACTTTTTAAAAATTCCTTATCGCAGGGAAGGAACAATATTTCTGTGGGTGGAGTTGAACTTTGTAGTGTTTCTAACTTTCTAAAACAAAATCACCAAAAAAAAACCCCACCCCACCTTAGATTTGACTGCCATATATTTCTGTCACGTTGAAAGAAAAAGACACAACTCAAGAATTTTTATTCACGCTACAGAATTAGAGAACAAAAGTTTCATTTCCGCGTGTGTTATTCCTGCAATATTTCATTGTAATTAAAGGCATCAGGAAACCTTTTCCTATAAATTACTGGTCAGCTACACATTAAAATTAGGTGTCTTGCTTGAATTAAGTGGTGATCCGTCTAATAATACCACCTGTTCTTGCAACAACCAGAGTTTGAAGATATGTCCTAAGATATTGGAAGGTGTAACGTTGTATTGATTCCTCTCAGCTATTAAAAAATATATGAAGCGACTGATACGTTTTCTATCAATTTGTTGAACTTTTTTCTAACTTCTCTAAACTCATTGTCCTATAGCACCTTGGAGAACACCTCAAGATGTTCTCCTCCATCTCACCCTTACTACTACCGGGAGCCTGGAAGAAAAACCCCAGGAGAGTATCTGCATCTTTCCAGCAACATCCTCAGGTAGATGCAAACTACTGCCAAGAGCAGAGAACGGTTTGAATTAATCTTGGCAAAAACAAGAAAGAGAGCATCAAACTCTTCTCTACCCTGAAAGCCAATTAATGTTCAGGTACAGGTTGTCAACTCTTTTGCCAGACAAATGTAAAAACAGCTATGCTTTCTCTCGTCGTGTTTTGGAGGTTTTTTAAAAGTAAGTTTTAGTGCTGCTCTTCTGTGTAAAAAAAAAAAACCAGCAGTTTCTGTATTAGTTTGAAAAGGTAACGAGAGTCAGTTTGGTCTAGGGATTAAGGCACCAGGAGACTGGGAGTTCTGGTCCCACCTTAGGCAGGAAAGCTGGCTGGGTGGCTTTGGACCAATCACCAGGAGACTGGGAGTTCTGGTCCCGCCTTT